AAGCCGAAGCCTATATACAGGCGACGGAGCTCTGTGCCATCAAGCAGCCGTCCGACCCTAAAAAGTCCGACAAAAAAGAGAACCGGTCTGCTCAGCCGGCTAAAAAAGAAGAGAGTAAGAAAAGAAAAGAAGTCAGGGTGGCGGACCATTCTGGTTAGCCGTCCCAGAAGAAAAAGAAAGAGTTGAAGTCGTACGTCCCTAAGTACGAATTCAACAAGGACTGCTCCTCCATCCTCATGGAGATTAAAGACCGGTTGACCATTGAGAAACCGGCTGCGTACGTCCCTAAGTACGAATTCAACAAGGACTGCTCCTCCATCCTCATGGAGATTAAAGACCGGTTGACCATTGAGAAACCGGCTGCAATGAAAAGTCCCATAAAAAGCCGGGACAAAAGCAAATACTATCATTTCCATGAGGATATAGGCCATGACACCAATGACTGCTTTAGCCTCAAACGGTTGTTGGACCCTCTAGCTGACAAGGGGGTGCTAAAGTCCTACCTTCTGAAGTTCAAGGGTAACCCAAGACCAAACAGTGGACAGTCGTCCAAGAAGCCTGACAACCTTGCTATAAGCTCTGACACCGATGAAGAGCACATCTATACTATAGCAGGCGGCTTTGTCGGAGGGGGACCTACCATCCGAGGTACCAAGGACAACATCAGAAGGCTCGAGGTCAACTCAGTGGATGAGGGCCAAGCGTCGAAAGGCACCTTTTATGAGGTCGTCATCTCAAAGAAGGACCGGGGCAAGGTCAGGCGGCCTCATGATGACCCTATAGTCATCGAGTGCAAGGTTGCTAACCAACGAGTGGGTCGGATCCTCATTGATACCGGGAGCTCGTTTGACCTTATCAGCTATCGGTGCTTGGCAAAGCTCAAGTACAAGCTTAGTAGCATGCACAAGGTCTCTCGCCCCTTGGTCGGTTTTGGGGGTGGAGTGGTGCATCTTGGTGGTTGTTGAAGAATTGATTGCCTACAACCTGATTTTGGGTCGTCCAACCCTCAACGAGTCCAAGGCAGTCATCATCCCATCCCTCATGCTGCTAAAATTTGAGAGGGATGATGGGTCAATGGGTTTCCTGAATGGGGATCAGAAGACGGCAAGGGAGTGTTATCTCTCAGACGTCAAGCCTACTGTGGCCGCAACCGGCTAAGGCAAAGAGCCCACTGACCTTGATGACTTCAAGGAAGTCGCGCCTGCTCCCAAAGCAGCCAACAAAAAGAGAAAGGCGAACCACCTGGTGGCCGTAAAAACAGAGAAGCAATAGCAATCACTGATCGGGGAACGGTCAGATGATCTCCGTCCCCAGCCGGATGGTGAAAATATTGACATTGTTCTACATGACAGCCGTCCGGAACGAACCGTTAAAATGGGGACGGTTGCTTTTGCCAGGTTGGGCGCAGATTTGCACCAACTGTTGAAAGAATTCAAAGACATTTTTGCCTTTGAAGTGGAAGAGATGCCAGGCGTTAGCCCGGATCTTGCTGTCCACAAACTCGCCGTGGATCCAAAAAAGAAGCCGGTTAGGCAAAAGAAAAGGAATCGCGGCGAGGAACGATCTCAGGCGGCAGCCGCCGAGGTCAAGAAGCTGATGGATGCCGGGTTCATTCGGCAATGCTACTACCCCGGATTGGGTAGCAAACGTTGTCCTTGTTAAATTGCCGAATGGTACCTGGCGGATGTGTGTTGATTACACAGATCTGAACAAGGCATGTCCGAAGGATAACTATCCACTTCCAAAGATCGACAGTCTGGTCGACTCTACAGCCGGTCAATGTTGATGTTTCAAGGTGTTTCGATCTAGGGTTTCGGGTAGGAGAGAGGTGTCGTGGATTGGGGGAAAGGTAGGGTTGGGATCGCCGACGACCGGCTAGGCAGGGCATAGAAGTCGACGTTGGTGCGAGGGAAAGGCTGTGTACCAGCCCGCCGGCTGGTGGGTTGAGGAGTGGTGGTTTTTTTATAAAAGTTTTTTTTTAATTAATTAATATTTAATAATTTAAATATCAACCTATCGATGTCGCCACATGGCATGATTAACCCTTATGGCTAACGGTGTTAACCACTATTAGTCATAAAGGGCATTTGGTGATATTTTTTGTGAAACTCGGGGGTATATGGTGAATTTGAAAAGTTTCGTGTATATGGTGAATAAACGAATTACTCAGGGGTATATGGTGAAAAAACCGTAAAAAGTAAAACAAACAAAAATAAAAGTTAAATCATAAAAATGCAACAATAACAATTACTGAAAGATAGCAGAATATACAAAATCAACGAATAAAACAGAAGCAAAAAGAAAAATATAAGTAAGTGTAAAAGCCCTAAATTAGAAATAAAAAAAACCCTAAATCATAAAAACAAAGCCCTAAATTGAACACTAAGTCGTAGAAAATCAATCAGAGAACAATTAGCAAGAAAGAATAAACTAATTTGATAAAATTTACAATAACAAAACCCTAAATCGTGAAAATCGTAAAAAATTAAACAGAAGAATTGAAATAAAAAACGAAAAATCAAAATAAAATAAAAAACAAAAAAAAAATTACCCTATTGATAACAAAAATCGAAGAATACGCAGTAAAAGAAGATCGAAATCGAAGAATTTGACAGATCAATGAGCGCAAGCGAAGAATTCAAATTGCGAAAAATTGCCTTTGAGAGAATTTGAAGGTAGTGAGAGAAAATGTGGAAGAAGAGATAGAAAGAAAATGAAGCGGCGCATGAAAAAGAAGGGAGGTCATTCAACTGACGAAATTACAAAAATGCCCTTAATGAAATTGAAAAAGGCGGGTGAAACACAAGCCGTCGGATTGAGAGCGATCAATGGTCACGATGAATTCTATTATAGGACTTGATTAATTAAATAACGTACTCAAAGGGACGTGTCAATCATTCCAAAACAAAGGGAGTAATTTTTTCTAAAATAGTTTAATATATAAAAAATTAAAAAGTACTAACTATAAAATATTTTTTAATGATAATATTTTTCCTAAAATAGTCTGATTAAATATATTAATTTTATATATCCTAAAACAGTATTATATATTATTTTTATTTTTCTAAAATAATATATTAGACTATTTTAGAAAAAATTAAAATAAATATTTATTTTCTAAATAGTTTGATTAAATATACTGGTATTATTTTTATATTTCCTAAAATAATCTTATATATAGAAACACGAAATATTTTCTAGAATAATACATCAGACTATTTTAGAAAAAATAAAAATAAAAATAATCTGATAATATATATTTTTTATTTTAAAAATAGGAAAGATTGATTTTCATAATCTTAACTTTACTCCATTTTCTTTTAATTATCCCAACTTTGCATTATTCTGGAATAATCTCAACTTTGGGGGATGTTTACTTTCTTCAATCCCAAACCGGTCAACAAAAGTCAATGACCTGTTATAACAGGTTTTGTGCCACGTGTTAAGTTGTAGTTGGTCCAAAAAAAAAAGAAAAAATTAAAAAACACCAGAAAACCCCTTATCCTTCCTACCGGCCCACCACCACCACATGTCGCCGGTCGGCAGCGCCAACCCCTCCCTTCCCTTACCCCAAAGCTGCACCGGTTTCCCCCAATCCCCCACCCCAATCCCCTCCTTTTTCGATCCGGTTCTTCGCCTTTACAACCAAAAATCCCTTTAAATCCCTCTCACCATTCGAAACTCCCTTGACACCCCTCCCCCACTCCCGAAAACCCCCAACAACCCCTTCCTCACTGTTGAAAACCTTAGCGCTAGGGTTTCGAGGTAAGGGGGGTGGTAGTTGGAGGTTTTCGAAGTGGTGGAGGGGTTTTATCAGTGGTTGTGTGGGGGTTTCGGAGAGGGGGGATGGTGGTTTAGAGGGAAGCTGCCGGAGGGCGACGCTAGTGTTAGGGGAGGGCCAGCAATCCGGCGAGGGAGAGGCCTGGGTGGGTGGCCGGATTTTTTAGGGTGGTTGGGTTTTTGGCTGGGTTGTTATTTTTTTTTTTTAATTTTGTTTTTTTTTTAAATTTTTTTTTAACCAATTAACTTGTGACGCGTGTCATTTAAAAAAAAAAACTATTCAACCGAAAACTGGTAATTGGAATTGAAGAAAATAAACAGCCCCCAAAGTTGGGGTTCCCTCTACTCGAGAAAATGTTGATTTATTTACGAAAATGCCATGCTGAATGGGATATTTTGTTGATTTATTTACGAAAATGCCACTAGATAAACGATTTTTGTTTATCACGAAGATAAATTGGGGTTCCCTCTACTCGAGAAAATACTATCTAATCACATAAAAGGAGTAAAGTGTAAAGTTTTACATTTTTAGAAGGAAAATTGTAAATAATATTCCCCACTTTGGATTATTCTAGAATAATTCGAACTTTGGGGCTGTTTACTTTCTTCAATCTTAAATCGATCAACAAAAGTTAATGACCTATTATATCAGGTCACTTGACACTTGTCAAGTCCTAATTGGTCCAAATAATTAAAAAAAAAATTCAAAAAACCAGCCAACTTCCCCTTCCTCCCACCGGTCCACCCTAACCTCCACCACCACTGCCGAGCCCGCCGCCCCTCCCTTGCCGGATTGCCGCGTCACCACTTTCCTCTCTAAAACCCCCTCCCATTTCCCCATGCAACCACCAAAATCGTAGCCAAAAACCCCAAAATTGTAGCCAAAACCCAAAAAACCACCAAGGAACACGGAGGTTTCAGGGGTGGGGGGTAAAACGCAACGCCACTGTTCTCTTTCTCCCCTCACAACCACGCCCTTAGCTCCGACCACCACCATAATTATTCTTTCCCCTCTCTCACCTTCTACCACAATTTCTCATCTCCTCCCTTAGTTTTCTCTCCTTTCTCCACCCAGATTTCTCTCTGCCCCCTTTAGATCTGCATGGTCAACAGTAACCCCAGATGGTGGCTAAAAAACTGATGATTCTTCTAGCCAAATTTGACCATGCAATGAAGCCTAATTTTGGTGTGGTTGGCTTGTGACTTTGGTTTTCGCGGTGGAGATTATTGTTGAGGACTTGAGGTTTGAAGGTGGGTAGAAGAATGAAGCTCAATGAAGGGTCGCATCACCGGCGTGGGGGAAGAGGGGAAGCCGATGCAAAGGGGAAGGGGAATAGCAGTTGCCGGCGTTGGGTGGCCGAAATTTGGGTTTGACTTCCTCCTCTTTTTATTTTTATTTTTTATTTATTATTATTTTTTTTATGTTTGTTTAAACCAATTAACTTGTGATACGTGTCACTTAAATAAAATAAAATAAAATAACCCAATCAACTGGTCTCCGATAATTAAGATTGAAGAAAGTAAAAGTTCGAATTATTTTAAAAAAATCTAAAGTTAGGATTATTAAAAGAAAATACGGCAAAATTAAAATTATTTTTTTACGAAGTACAATTTTCCTTTATCGAATGAGACAAGACCAATACGGATTATCATTTCTTTAGTTCAGGGCTTCAACAAAATCGTCTTCAACCTTCTTCCGTCTTCTCTGTGAAAAAAACATCCTCCACCATAATCTTCCTATCTGAACAATTCTTTAACCTAAAAATAAAACAAATCATCTACATCCATAGATCTACCGAAGAAAACTCAAGTTCCAAGCTACGAAATCGGGAGGCAGAGTGCGGCGACCTGAGTCGCGACCACCGGCGAACTCAGTCGAGTCTATACCGTGTTCCGGTACGAACGAATCAGGTCGCGATTCACAGCAACGTACCGCGAACCTTGTAACGCTGTTCTACACCAGCTGATACAAAGTTTACTACCACCATCTTCATCATCATCTTCTTTCTTTATTCTAGGGTTTCAGAGACGATCATCAATGGCGCAATCATCAGGAAAAGGAGGAGAGAGAGTAGGAGGAGGTGGACCGAGATTGATTGGGGATTATATGGTTGGGAAGCAAATTGGATCAGGTTCATTTTCTTTGGTTTGGCATGCTCGTCACAGAGTTCATGGTACAGAAGTTGCGATTAAAGAGATTTCCATGTCTAGACTAAACAAGAAGTTGCAGGAGTCTCTTATGTCTGAGATTTTTATTCTGAAACAAATTAATCATCCTAATATTATTCGATTACACGATATAATTGAGGTATGCCAACTTATAAGTCATTCCTCTTTCATGTTTGTTGTTTTCTCTTAAGCAATTGGTAAAATTTTTAATTTTTAAGTATTATTTTTGTTTTTTTGAGTTTGATTTTGGTAAACGTTAGCCTCTAGTTTTGGACATTTCCACAATTTTGGAACATATTTTGAAAGCCCTTTTGGACTTGGGACATGTTCAGTAGCCGTTGGTTGAATGGATTACATTTTTTTTTCTTGGGCACAAGGAATGTAAACTTCAGAGAGATTTTTATTTTTTAATTTATTTGTTGTTGTTGTTGCATGTTTGGTAAGCTTATTCCGGATGTTGAACATCTTAGTATGTTGATTGGCTTTTGTGGTCATCAAAATTGTTATCATTAAGCTTTAAGGACGGGATTAACAATGCTGTATGTCGAGTTTAGGAAGTGCTATGATGTTATTAGTCTTCGTTTTCCCTTTTTTCATAAGCTCAACTTGCTCACAGTTCAAAATTCGTTCGTATCTTGCTAATTTGGGTTACTAATTGCTGTTGTACGAGGCCTTTCCTTCAATTGTTTTTAGCTGTTTGAAGATTTTGGAGCTTTGCTAACTACTTTTTTGAGGGAGTTTTGGGAAGTGTTTCTCACTGGCTCTAAAGAGACGTGGGGCTAAAGTGTTCAATGTGTATGATTATGGTTGACATAGATCTTATGAGTACTCGTCAAGTAGATTTATGTTACATTAGTTGCCCACAATTGTGCTTCTAATTAAGATTAGTAAAAACCTGGACTAGTTGGATACAAATATTTGAAACACCTACTACCTCCGTTTTTTATTAGTTGACACGTTTTGAATTTAGCACTATTCACCCACCTCCCATTGACTATGTTTTGTGATTTATATGTGAAGAAAAATATAGTCAAGTGAGATCTTGTTTGATTCGTCATAATGTATATCTTTAAAATATCAACTTTTTATAATTTTTATTTATCGGTAATTAAAGATATTAATGATTGAATTTGTGCATTGACAAACGTGACTAAAGAAACGAAACGTGCCAACTAAAAACAAACGGAGGAAGTATTTTTTTATTTTTTTAATTTTTTTTTAATATCATTAATATAGTTGTACCACAACAACCTTTATCCAGTCCGCGACCAACACATCATTTCTGTTTTGCACTTTTGCGACACCATGACCATTCCTGTGATCACAGTTGAAGCAGTGTTTGTATTATGTTGGTTAACTTGGTGGATATACTTATTTGTATTATGTTGGTTAACTTGGTTTTTTTATTTAAAATGTCAACTTTTGAATTAATCATAATGGTGAACTAGAATTTTTTTTGTAGCAACTTGCAATCATAGGATAAAGCTTTTGATTGTGTCATTGATTTGTTTTGCTAGATTTTCTGGCGCGAGGATATTGAAATGCAGTGTTCTAGAAATACAATAGCAATGTAAAGTTTTAGGGGTAGAGAAACCTTCTATGATTTGATGCTTAGTGTTTACGCATTTACTTATTGTAGCTGTTCTTGTACTCATGTTCTTTTGGCCAGAAGAGGTCTATTTTCAGAAATGGATGAATTTAAGTAATTGGTGTGGTGAGGTTTTAGAATGCATAAGATTGTGCATTCCTGATCTTAAAGCTTTTAATATAGAAATTAGGTTGAGTCTGTTGAGGTGAGGTCTATTATTGCACCAAAGATCACAGTCATGGCTCATACAGACAGGATTTTTACTTGGAAAGCTGAGTAGCTTTTAGCCCGTAAAGAGTAAGGATAAAGAAAGTAACGGCCCTAGGAATAAGGGCTTTGTTTGCAAAACCTCTATTGGGATAATCTGTCATGGACTGGGTCAATGGGGTCAATAGCCCAAGTCAACCTCCTCTAGTGGTTTATACGAGGCATGCAAAACTGGGGCAACAAGGGTCAAAAGCAGGAGGAAACAATTTGCAACATGACAAGTTAATTAAAGAGAAGTTATGGAAGGAAAGCTAGCTACTTTAACAATGTCTCTTGATGGTTTTTCTATTTTAGCTAAGTTAGTCACATGTATAATCTAAGGCTTGAGTATAAGTATTGTAGTCAATCAATTAGTAAAACTATCCAGAAAATTAGAGTGAACACTTGATGAGATTTGTAGCCTAAAGCTGCTAAGAGACTCATAAATACAAGTTATGCTTATCCTCTTTAGTTTGTAGTTCGAATCCTTAATCAATTAAAAGTACTCAAGCTTTATCTTAATTGTGTCTAAATTAGTAATTCGGGTGAGCGAAATCTGATACATTACATAATCCTAGGAAATTGGAATAATCATGCAAAACAAATTACTTATATGCTTTAATCATGTAGCTTTTTGGTTGTTTTACTAAAAACCTAATATTGTGTGCTGCAAGCTTTGTTATCAATGTTCTCTTTTACATAGTGAGGTCAAACATGATTTGATAGTGATTTTTATGACTAAAATTGGGTTTATTCATGGAGACATGGTTGAATACCCTTTGATACCCCTTTTTATTCTTTTACACCTTGTTTGGATCATGGTTCGAAAATGCGGTTTTGGTTCTCATCACGGGAATGGTGAGGGAACGGGTACAATGCGTTGATCACGGACCATGTAACGGTTATTGCGATGCAAATTTGATTTAAAGATAGTAGAGGATTAGAGCCATCAATGAAGAGATATGGTAGAATAGTAAAGGATTAAAGCCGTTAGTGGGGAGATCTTTCACTATATCTTTGAATAGGAAGTAGCTTTTGTGTGACACAACAGATGTAACTTTCAATAAGGGGTGATTTTGGGTTGGAATGTTTGATTCGGACAAAATCGCGGGTTTTTGTAACACCCCTTGTTGATACGGACAATCTCGGTTCCGTCAATAAAAAATCCTTACAAAACGGTCCAACCAAGATGTCGTGGCCTTATTTTAACCCATGGTTTGGATACAAGGAAAGGGAGGGAAAAGAAGAAAATAGAAAGGGAGGAGTAAACTGTTTGGATAACAATTGTAGAGTAGGGGGGTGAGGAAAATGGAAGGAAACTTTTCCATTGATATTTAAGAATAAAATCTTTTCAACTTTGAAAAGTTTTGGAAGGAAAATAAAATGGAGGGAAAATTAACTAAACAGATTCATTTTTCTCTCTTCCAGATCTATACTTTCTATCTCTTCCATGGTTTGAAAATGCGGTATCGGTCGCGATCGCGGAAACGGTCGTGCTGATTCGGTAACGAAATTGATGCGTTGATCGCGGATCGTATCGCAGTTGTTGCTTAAGAATTTTAAAATATATTTATGTTTTAAACTCTATATTTTACAATGATTTTTCTCATAAATTTTAAAAAATTTATATATATATTTTTTTAAATCTTATATTCTTATACAAATATACTGCTATATTTCCCTTTTTATTACTACTCTGTATTCCTATACTCTTTATTATATTTTAGAATTAAAATCCTTTTATTTTTTTTTGTGTGTGGGACCTGGGTAGTAAAATGGGAAAGAGAGGGGGTGGGGGGTCACGTGGATGTGAGATAAGAAAAAAGCAGAAGGAAAGAGAATGGGTGGGGTCCAGTCAACTTCAAAAGAGGTGTCTGATAAGTGATAACCAGCTGTCCCAACTCTACCCCATTTTATTTAAAAAGAATTTTTTCATTCAGCCAGAGAAAAGTGCTCGACTTTTATGGAGAATTCAAAACCACTCGCCGGAAAATGTTTAGAGAGCTTAAAACTCGGTGTTTTTTCTTCGGATTTATGCTGGTAACATTTGATACGGCCGAATTTCATTTCAGAACGGTCGTATCGGCCGAAATCACGGAGTATTGTAAAGCAGCGTGCTGAATTGGTAAATATCGTAACGGCAACTTCGAAATCCGTTACATTCGGCCGATTCGCGACGTAACGGCCGAGTTTTCGAACCATGGTCTCCTCAATTCCCCTTCCTTTTCTCTCTACCCATCCCTTACACTATGTTTGGATGACAATAGTAAAAGGAAAGGGAGGGGAAGGAAAAAGAGGGAAGGGAAAAGGAGGTGGGGGGGGGGGGGGAGGTGAACTTTCATTTTCCTTCCAAATCTCTTCAACAATGGAGGGATTTGGTTTATTAAAGGGGAAGAAAAATGGATCTTTCCAATTCCCTCCCCTTCCCTCCTTGCATTAAATATCCAAACAAAGGTTGATGCATCCCTCTTTTTCTCTTCTCTTCCTTTCCCTCCATTTCTTTCTATCCAAGCATAGTGTAAAAAAATCCCAAACTTTTTCTGGAATTTGTGTTTCTTTGACTTTATTTCTTGTTGAGTTTGGGAAATTTCTTCCATTTTGTGGTTTGATTCTTCATTATAGTCAGTTCGATTTCTAATTTCTGATTTTCATAGATTTCTGGAAGTTTGAATGCTGGATTTTTTTCTTAATTTTAATTTCTGATTCTTTATCGTAATTAATTGATCTGTTTCTGATTTTCACACCCTCAAATCTAACTCTGATTCATTTCAATTTTGTTGATTGATTTTTCTGCTACCGAAGAACAATTTCAATTCATTTGGTGGTGGCTATAGCACCAGAAATAGTTATGGCAATGGTTATGGTATGGAAATGGTTTAGAGTGTTTTTTGAAGTCAGAGATCATTCTGCCCCTTCCTTCCTCTTCTCTTTTATCCAAACAAGGGAGTTGATTCCTCACTTCCCTTCCCTTACTTCCTGAAGTTGTGTCCAAACAAGCTGTTAAGGTTATTTAAAACCTAGATTCGAGTTGCGATATGATGCAAACAAGATTTTTAAATTTGATTTGATGGCATAACCATTGGTTCTTACTGGTGATTTATTCTTCACTTACCTAAATTCATATCAATCCAAAAAAACTGTTGCACTTACTAAGCAAATGTTCTGGTGTTGCTGATCCAAAAAGAAATGGCTTAGGCTGTCTTTTAAATCTGTGCTGCGGTCCGTCCAATGAAACCAATTAAATCATTAATGTAGTTACATTATATATTTTTTTTTCGCGTTGCATATTGTTTGCTCGGATATATGCTGTAATGACGGTCAAAGTGGATGATGTTTAATTGTTTTTCCTTTCACTACTTCCTGTTGAGTATGTTATGCCTTGTTTTCTGAAGTTACTCTGAGTTGCTTTTTATTTATTTTCATTGCTCAACATTCCTAGTAGGTCCCTGGAAAGATACATCTTGTATTGGAATATTGCAGTGGAGGCGATCTTTTCATGCATATACAGCGCCATGGAAGAGTCCCAGAAGCCACTGCAAAGCAGTTCATGCTACAACTAGGTATATCCTAGACTGTTTAATATTTAAGTTCTAGATGAATTTTCTGATGATGTAATTCTTACAGCGGCTGGTTTGAAGGTTCTCCGAGAAAATAATATCATTCATCGGGACTTGAAGCCGCAGGTATGTTGTTTTGGCATGTCTTTTAATTATTCTTACGTATTAGGATTATGACGAGATATATGCTTGGTTTCTTATCTGCACCAAAATTCTCTTTGAGGTCTGGTACTTAGGCTTGTGACTTATTGCATCAAATTCTTTTGAGGTTTATAGCAGTTATAAACTTTTAAAAAACTTCTGTGGATTGTGAAAGATTGATGCTTCTACTTGAAGTCAAATTCTTTGTGTTGTCTTGATGAAATTTTAGATTTGAGTTCATGCAATTGTTAATATGATGTTCAGATTATCTTGGACAGTTGATTTGATGACATGTTAATCTGATCAATACCAGATATTTGTCCTTTGGAACGTGTGGAATTACTTTAAACTAAATTTATGAACCAACAGTTGTTTTCATTTGATTTTCTACAATCTGAGGCTTGAACATCTATTTGACAGCTTGATTTGCCTGAATGTTTAATTCTACTCTTTGTGAACATTTAGCTCTAACAAAATGAATCATAATCTCTTCAAAAGGTTAGGAAGGAAAATTACATTTTTATTTGATGGAGGTACAATTTTCACTGAGCATAGTAAGATCAGACTGACCTCTACCAACTCTTCTTAGCATTTGAACTGGCTTTCATTGTTTACCAATTAAATTGAAGATTATAACTTTAACCAGAAAGTATTGACTACTGAGTTTTAATACTTTGATTGAGCATGGTTAAATCAAGTAGAACCTAAGTACCTTGTTTTCGTGGTTTTAACTTTGATACCTCTATTCAGTCTGCTATTTAAGGACAGAAGTGAGTACACTTTGTCAATTTACTTGCCTGAAACATAAAGGGAAATATTCACTATGTAACAGATTAGTTTGAATGAGTATACTTAATGCATTGCATAGTACCAAACAGTTTTCTTATTGGTTGTTGACTTGACATTGCTGTGCTTGTATTTTTACAAGTGAGGGGGTAAATGGTTAAGACTCTTTTACAAATCATTAAATGAGATGGCAGAAACTGCATAAAGAAATTAGAGGGTGATGCATTGATGCTGGGGAGATTGGAGGTTGTCATGGGTGCTGATGCTGTTAGCATAATTATCATGCCCTTTGTGTGATATGGGAGAAAATAGGTCGTTAATATTCCGCAAGTGCATTCCAAAGAAAACCACTAAACCAAAGTAAAGCAAAGGCTAATCTCTCAGCAAGTATTAAGGGACTTCAATTTCTGTCAATAAGGCGATAAGCTAGGTCACATCATTTTTTGTAATTTCTAACATTTAGAAATTCAAAACTAGTTTAAATTATAATATAATGAAGAGCAACTAGGGGAGTAGGGGTATATATCCACTTTGATCAACTAATTTGAAAGACTTTAGAGTTCAACTACACAATACACATGCAAGCATCAATTGTAATGACCCTACCCAACTAATATCCTTTGGTCCTCTCTGGATTTAGGCTATGCAATAGATTCATAAAACCTACCTCTCACTAACCATTCTAGGCTAATGAGATTCAAATGAAGAACTGGCTAAAAAATTGCAATGCAAATGCTCACATTCCCATGTCGTACACATGCATATCCACTGCATGAATCAAGATATGTAGGTGATGTGGATCCTAAAAATGCTCCCGAGCTCTAAAAATATCAAGATATTTATCAGCAAATCGGAAGAAAAGATGATGCGGCAAATTCAAGCCAAGCTGCAGGTGCTGCACTCACATCCTAGGCATGCTGTGCGTGCAAGGAGCTTCTGTGCTAATGCTACTTGGTGATGCTTGTTCGTGCATCATCCCTGCTCATTGGTAGTTGTTATTGCTCATCACTACACTTGGGTACTAATGCTTTTTGCTTCTCGTTGCTGTAACGTCACTCGTTGATGTAGCTCAGTGTTGATCGACATTACCTTAACTTCTTGCTACCAGTTGTCATGGTGTACCACTGTTTCTATTCCGTACTATAGCAAACCAGCTAATTTTGATTATTTGTGGTAAGGCATTTGAGGAGTTAAAGAAAGGTGGGAAGGCCTTACAGGTGTTAGCAGTAGATCACCTCCCTTCCTTTTGCTGATTCTTTCGTTCCCTTTATTCTATTTCCAACTTTTTTTTATCATCTATGCTAATAATTGATTAGTTAGTAATTTAATAGTTGAGTAGTCATTTTAATTGCTTTGTCTTACACCTATCATGTGAGCTACATGTTAGAGATTTTACAGCTCCCACAAAGTTCTACTTTCATAGAATACAACTGATAAAATTGGTCCTTTTAATAAGCTAAAAACTGTCATGGAAAATAAGAAACTTCATAAAACACAATCTTGGACTTTTTTTAATGTAATTGAATCTCAAGGAAAATATCACTGTCCACTGTTGTTAAAGGAAGAATGAAATGACAAATTACGTCATCCGGGAGTCGGCCGACAATTCGTTCCCAAAAGACGACTTGGACTTCTACGTTAGGATGGGGCATAAAATTTATCACTACACCTCTTTATCGTACATGTCCTCCGTTTCTCAGATATTACACCATGGAGGGGCTATGCAATGTTTTTAATAGTGAGAAAAAGGGAAGAGAGAGAAATGGAAAAAATACAAACTTTCCTGAGTATTAACTAGTAAGGGTATATTAGGTTTTGCAGTGTGAAAGGCGTTATTTGTTTTCTGAAATTGGTATATGGTGCAATTTATGTGAAACTTCCTTAAAATGTAAAAGGTGCAATATTTAAGGAACGGAGGAAGTATATAAATTTGTATGCTGCAAGAGTAGCATATGCTTGTCCATGAAGTTAGATTTCTTTGGTGTATTCTATCTTTTCTCTTCTGGTGTTGATTGGTGTTATGGCCGGGAAATTCAGTGCGCTAATCACTGATCACAAGAAGATTTATACAAACTGATAAAAATTGTCCTTATGATTTGTCCTTGCTGTATGGTGGTCATGTCTTGCTTTCCATGTTGACAATGTTGGTTTTTCACTTATGGTGGTATAATTATGATAGGCAAATAGATGAGCTTACCTTGATTTTTGAGGCTCTAGCTCAATTACTGGAGGTGGTAATATGAAATCAATTAGTTTAAATCATTGTCTCTTTCAGCATAGTTTCCCTTTATCATGATTTGGTTTCTTGGAGGTTTTTTTAAAGCCATTTTAATACTATACTATAAAATTGTGGTTCTATTTTAAAATGTATTGTAAGGTTTACAGTAACATACCATAAATTGTTGTAACTTTTAGGTTCATATGAAAATTTGAAGTTTTGTTGGCAAAAAGGCAAAACCATGCTCATAGTGCTATTACTGTATGTCATTTGACCTGCAAACTAGTGATGTCTTGTGCCATTGCTGATTTTCTTGTGTAATTTTGTCAGTATAATACCATGTGAGGCTTTTACTTTTAAATAGATAATATTCTGACATTTCTATATCTACTCTTTGTTCACAGAATCTGCTTCTCTCCACCAATGACAATAGCCCAATTTTGAAGATTGCAGATTTTGGATTTGCTAGGTAAATTAGTAATTTTTGAAGTCACGAGTTTCTGATTCTATTTTTGTTTTCTATGAGGTTTTTTTTTTATTTTATTTTAAATCTATGGTGTTATTTAAAATTGTTCCTTGCTTACGTACTTCAGCATTGCAAATTTTTTTTTTTTGTTCACATGTCCTCCCATTTAGACATTTCTTTTTTTCACATGTCTGTCTTTGAATTGGGCTTATTGAAATTTTGAATAACTTGGAATTATTCTATGGTTTTACCTCTCTCTGTTTATGTGGGTGTTCAATCCTGCATGGTGCGTGTGTACATAGGACAATTTAACGTAAGACAGAATACCTGTTTGGTTATCCTGCGTATATATGATTTACAATAACTGTAGTGTTAATGGCCCAATAATATTTTGGTGGCAATTCTTGTTTTCTATGTCTGAGTTGGCTATTATATGCTCTTCATCATGACTAAACATAGTACATTGATTTGACTTCTACTTTCAAATGGGGTTTAATTGCCTGAATGATCAACATTTTTAGTTCTGGAAGACAGGTTTCTTTCAAGTTCTGGAAGACAGGTTTGTGTAGATTAATCTTCAACTAGAGGAAAATTTTTAATTAACTAGTACAAGAGTCAAACTTTATGGCAGGGGGTCATGATCCTGATGACTTCTTAAGCCTCATTCCCCCAGTAAAGTTTGCTACATGACAAAAATTCAAGAGTATATTGGTCAAACCATTACACTACATGTTGAATTGTTGATTATCTTTGGTGGTGTTTTTGTAGATTGTACTAGAAATAAAGATGAAAAGTGAATCAATGTAAAAGTGTGGGGATGGCAGTGGGTCATGATCCTGGTGGTTCTTGAAAATTAAGACCTGAACCCTTATCAATCTATGAAGTTTCAAGTTTTGTATCAATGAATGTCTGATGTCACTCAGAGCTATGATTTAGAGATTTGAGAGAGTTGATTGAGGTACTAGGATTATGTTTTATAAATCTCTTATTTGGGACTTACCAGGTTAAAATCTTAAGAGATTGGACATGGATGGTAACCTGTCCAGTAATCATCAAGTTTCACTTTCAGCCTAAGTTCATGAAAAGTCCCAAAAATCCCTAATATTAGTTGGGTTGAAGTGGGTCTGGGTCAAATCTAAGACCCAATGTCAATATGCTATCCCTAAACAAATAAGTACGCCGTAAATATATGTACGTATGGACTTATAGTTATGCAATAGGATGTAATATTGCCATTAGAGGATACCTTGATAAAGACACAACTCAAAAGGCTTAAAGTAGTTGGCAACTTAATTAAAATAACGCAAATTTTTGACACGTACAATGTTAGAGTTTCTAATAACCAATTAACACAATACAACAAATACTACATTTTTTAAAACTTTTTTTTTTTTTTAAAAACGCAAGGCGCACTGAGGTCCTCAAGCCTAGGCGCACGACGAAGGCACGCGCCTTTTGGATACGAGGCAACCTTACATGCCATAACTCTTAAAAATCACTTCTAGGCAAGATATAAGCCTTATATACTGTAAAATAACATATTATAATGCGAAAAAAGGAACCCCAAGATACCACTAAAGCCTTACATGCAAAGTGGCATAAAAGTCTTGGAACTTAGAGAGAAACTAACATAGTAGTGCCTTAAACTTTTGTTATTTGACATAATAAGACATTAGTAATCTATCTCATTATTGTCATATGCATCCTTGATTGGCGTAGGATACGTCGTTGATAACGCACCAAATCAAATTATCTAATTACCAATTAAATGAGTAAAATGGCAAATAGGGTCGAATCTCCACTGGAAACAGATTGAAACACAATCAAATCACAAGTTACGAGAGTCACAATAGCGTAATTTTTTGTTAATTTTGAATTGAGATTAAAAACAAACTAGAACAAATTAATACAAACTAACTTGACAAAATTAAGGATGAGTAAGACAAATAAAAGCTATAGGGGAAACGAGGATCCAAGCATGGTAATCAATCATTCAAACGATAGTGATTATTATGATCATCACACAAAGGAAAACATGACAACATGCAATTCCTAGCTAAACTAGCTCACATCCGTGATTAAGTATGTAGGGCAAATTATATTATTACCTAGTTCATTTATGTGCAGCTAATTTAGAGCTGATATAATTCATCGGTTTTTTTTTAATAGCGTGCTAAATTAACGTCAAAGACATAAAACTCATTACCCAAAATCACATGGTATAGAAAATCAATAATCAATCATCACCATTTGAAATTAATCATTACTATGCTCTTCTCCCCCTCCCCTAGCTAAAAACCTAGCATAGGAAGGGGAAAAAAAGGTATGAAAGACGTGAACAAGCTAATTACAAACACAACATAGCTAAACATGATTAACAATGATTGAGCACAAAACAAGTGTTAACAAGGAATCAAAATAAGCAAAACAAGCAAAACACAAGGAAATAAGATGACCAAAACATATAAAATAGAATAGGAAGAAGAGGTTACTAAAACAAAGTGCTTAAATTGAATTACTAAAGGAATTGAAGGAGCTACAATGATGTTTTTGATCTTTCTGCACTTTTTCTCTCCAAAATCAACTAAAATGGCTAATTACATTAATAATCGGTATATATGCCCCCCTATAATCTCCCAAATTAAGGCAAATATGGCTCTAAAAATTTGAAGGATTTTGGAGTTTCATTCATCAAGGGTATTTACCCTTCGGGTGGTGGCCGCTCATTGGGGTGGAGCAGATGCTCCCGGAGGTATTCAACGGCTCCGCATCAAGTGAGGAGTGGCCACTCCTCTCTAGTCCAAAATGCTAAAGTTAATTAAATGGATGGAGCGGCTGCTCCTCCACTGCTTTGCTTTAACTTGAATTCTCCCTCCTCTCTAACGCATTCTGGACTCCAAGCAATGCCTCAGGGCCATGAAGTGACATCCTTGAAGATCCTAGGACAAGAATTTATACACATTTGTAAGCAAAGATGGGAGGGGAGCAAGATTAGAGCTAAATTTAGCATTTAAATGTCCAAAATCATGTAATTATAACCAAAGACCAAGAAGAGGAAGGAGATCAAGAAAATAGCCCAAAACTACAAGAAAAGGGAATAAAAAAAGGGAGAAAATTGCATCTCATCATCAATAATCCTCACTATGATCAAACATTAAAATTGCACGTGGTTTAGGAGCGGAGCTACTAACAATTCCCCTTCCCCCCCCCCCCCCCCCCTCTTTTTTATCAACTCTTGATGCTCCTTCTAGGTGGCATAGGAAGGTTCATAGCTTTGGTGGCTCTACATACTGCTCTCTAAGTCAAGTCCTTACCATCAAATACAAAATCATCCTCATTATCATCTTTCATTTAAGTATGGGATCAATAGTGTTTTTCCTCTTTTGTCAATGTTGCAAACCTCGATTATACTTGCCATAAACCATGTCATTTAATCTAATTTGTGCCAATTGGTTCTTAAGACTGAAGTTGTAAAATATAAAAATAAAAATTTACGTAATGTTATGAAATAAGATGATATAATTAAGTAATAAAAGTGAAGTGCTAGTCAATTCTTAAGTACTTAATTACTAACCTATTGAAAAACACCCCAGTTTCATTCATGACCCATAGCTCTACAAGTGAGGCTAATAGGTGTGCGCCTTCTAGACCTAGCCTCTCCTTGAAGCCCAGAGGCCTTAAGGCACGCTTTTTAGCATAATTCTCATTGAGAATCCAACATTAAGTCGAAGTGACATGCCTATAGGTACTTGTATATTTATTCTTGATCAAAATAAGCTTTAAAAAATGAACAAAGTATATAATAAGGCTTATAATGCGATGAACTTGGTATGTGAAATGACTAGTGTCCATTTGTGAAGAATTTTTTTAGGAGAAGTTGGATACTCCCTCAGTGTCTTTTTAAGTGTTACACCTACCAAATGCGACCGTGTTTTTTTAAGTTTTACACTTACCAAATGCGACCGTGTTCTTTAAAGTGTTGCACTTTCTTTTTTGGCAAAAAACTACATTTTAATATTATATATCTCTCCTATCGTGCTCCCCACCCAAACCCATAACTACTTTATTTATTTTATTTATTTATTTTTTTATTATTATTATTTCTTTCCTCTCACATTCATTTATTTTCAATAAACTATTATAACCCCTGGATCTTTTTTTTTAAAATTTTTTTTATACTCCAACTACTCCACTTGCCTCGTATTTCATTTAAGTCAATTAAATAAATTGCCTAAAAAGTGTAACACTTAAAAAAACATGGAGGGAACATATGTATTCACTTATTAAAATGAGATATGTTATCTAAAAAGGGGTTTTTGCCTATGCTCTAATTTTTATAGCTTATTTCATTTTACCGATTCTTATATGCAACTGTTTGTTAACCACCGTTTGATTAGATGTCATTAGCTATCTAGCATCCTAAACTATGTTTTTGTCCATTGCTACAAAAAAGGATGAGGAAACCCTTTCTTTGTTTTTGTGCATTTATCTTAATGTGGCATTTCTCTCTCTCTCTCAATTGAAAAGGGGTGTTGGGTAGTTGTTTGGTGTCATAAGGTGAAAGTTGCTAGTGCCAAATGCCAACTTTACATTTTTTGAGGAAAGAGGGGATGGATATCTAGTTTGGGTAATAAGGTCTCGTACTTGCAAGAATGTTTATGGTGGCTTCTAGGTGGTTGGCTCACCAATATGCTTTGTTGATATTTTAGCTATTGAAAACCAAGTTACACCTGTGCTAGAAGCACAGGCTATGTCAAACACATTTTATCCTCTTATTCTGGTATGAGGATGACTCTCCATTTTTATCAGATCTCTTCAACCTAGAGGGCTTGCAGAAACATTGTGTGGCTCTCCTCTTTACATGGCTCCTGAAATAATGCAACTTCAGAAATATGATGCGAAGGTAATTGTGTGTTTTATGATTTTATTTGTAGCTTTTATTCAGCAAATTATACACGCTACATCCAACACTTGTTAATCCTGAGTTGAATGCACAGGCAGATCTCTGGAGTGTGGGTACAATCGTGTATCAACTTGTGACTGGAAAAACTCCTTTCAATGGAAGCAATCAAATGCAGGTGGGAATGGTATTTTTGGTTACCTGCATTGGTTACACATTTGATGGTTTCATTGAATTTGTAATATTTTTGGCCCTTATCTCAAGAGCTGATGGTGACCTTCCATCTTTCCTTTTTACAGCTGCTCCAAAACATTATCAGAGCCACGGAACTGTGTTTTCCTTCAGATATGAAAGATCTAAGTTCAGAATTTGTAGATTTGTGTCAGAAATTGCTGCGACGTAATCCTGGTAAAATTTTATCATAACAAAAAAAGTATTATGTCACAAATGTCAAAACATCCCTAAAATTATAAACAAATATGAATATATGATATAGATACTGCAAAATAGAGAAGGCAGGTGTTCAATAAGTTGTTTACATTAGCAGAAACATTTAGTGCTCGGACTTTCTTTGTAGCCTCAGGGAAGGGAACTGACACAGCTGTTCAACCGGTGAAACCTCTTTCTCAATATAACAAAAGCATCAAGCAACCATGTGTCTTAGACATTGATTTTTTATATTAAAGCCCTGGGTTTAAAAATTGACCATCAGAAGGCAAAAATAGAGAAAATTTAGGGCTTTTGATTCTCAGAGGGAGGCCATTGAGAGAAGTTAACAAGGGAATTAGAAACACAACTAAGATACGACATGGAAATGCAAAAGGGGGGGAGGGGTTGTCTATTCTTGAACAAAGGTGGGTGGAAAAATACCTTTCAAATGGAACTAAAATCATTGTTTTTATCTTCAAAATTTATTGCTTGTTTGTAGTTAGTGAAAGAGAGGGAGGAGGTGAGAAGTACTCAGCCTTATGGTTTTAGAAGAAATGGTTGATATTGCTCATAAATATTGTTAAATACAAAATGTTTATGTTACTGCGTTTACGTTGTGCCTTAACTCAGACTGATAATTTTTTGACTTGCTATTAAATATTCCTTTACTTGCATGAAATAATTATTACACTGCTTCTGCATAGAATCGTAGGCTGTCTTCAGTAATGCCCCTGTGTTAGGTTCAAAAATTAGGCCCCTATAAAACTTTTAAAGGACAATTTTTAAGACTCTTTAATTTACATAACTTCTTGACCGTTGAAATTGACATGAAATTTGGCAAATGCGTTGTTTTTGCTAAAAGTAAGACGTTTAAGTCAGCCAATTAAGGATACAATTTACTAGAGATCTGTAGGTGAGATAATCAAGGGAGTCTATGGTTTTCAGGAAATTTAAATGATTTTTTTTTTTATTTTTTTATTTTTTTTTAATTGAATAATAAAGAAGTTTTTGAAGGAGAATGTGTAAAGTTTTAAATTTCAGCAAATTAGAGGCTTTAAAGTCCTTCAAATTAAAATTGATCACATATAGTATGAGATACAAATATACTTGCTTTGTTTCTTAATATAATTGCATCATATTGACCATGCACATTTTTCATTGCACTATTAAAAATCTTTATTTAAATGTCAATAAAAAAAATTATATAAAAATACCTCCTACATTTATATTTAGTTGACACGTGTTTTTAATCATGTTGCAAGCGCATAAGTTTAATCTTCAATTATTAACAAGTAAAAAGTTATAAAAAGTTGATATTATAAAAATATACATTGAGACAATTCTAACAAGATCCCACTTGAGAGTGAGGGATAACTCAAGTGGTTAGAGCTCCTCTCCCGGTTCCAATAGATCTTGGGATCGATTCTCATCACCTGCCCTTGTGGTTCTCTAATAACCAACAAAAAAAAAAAAAAAAATTAAAAGCTAGTCAAAGTTGTGGTTGTGAATAGTGTCAAATATCAAAACGTGTCATCTAAAAAAATATGAAGGAAGTAGACCCAATAATAATAAAAATAATGATAGTTATTGTTGTATATTAGTATATTACAGAGATTTTTTAACATGGTCAAAATTAATATGTTACTCTCTTATCTAGCATTATTGATTATTGAAAGCACTCCAAGATGTGTGTTTATGAAAGTCAAAATTAGTCTGCTGTTGAAGCAGAACTATCTAATAGGCTTTATCTGATCTTTGTCCTGGTATCTGCAGTTGAACGACTAACGTTTGATGAGTTTTTCAACCACCCTTTTCTTTATCAGAAGCAAAAGAATGAAATATCTGGGTAAAATCGGAAATTTTAGAAAAGAATTTAATATTCTTCCTTTAATTCTGTAATGGATCTGTTATGCTTGTCACTAAATTGTTTCTGTTATCTGTAGGAGTGAGATATCAGTGAGAAGAGTAGATCACTTGAAAAATAGTGTGGAAAGTTCACCAGATGATTGTTTGCCATTTCTTTTGGATGATGATTGTAATGGCCCTGATGGAAGCCCATCTTTTCCTGGGAGAAGATCATCAATTAAGTCTACTTGTGGGTTTTCCGTTGATTCTAGAAAACAAGCAGTGTCTAGCACTATCAGGCATGTTGATCATTCTTCTAGACAAAGCAATACCCAACATAAGTTGCAAATTAATGGTTTTAGGATAAATAGCAGTAAACAAGAGAATATACAGATTGAACATCCTCCTATTTTCATGGAGAAAAAACGGGTGAACTCTCATTCAAGAGGTACTAAGATATTATTAAATGATACACCTATGGATTAAATAAAAACTTTCTCTCTTATTAAATCATTATCTGAATTTTTTATTAATTTGGCAGCTTTGGACTCTTTGGAGTTTACTGATCAAGATTATGTCCTTGTGTCTGGACCCCCTTCAGATGTTTCAACCTCATCTGCTAGTATGTCAAAACCAAGTCTGGCTCCAATAAAATCTGAACTCCCAAATACCACATCTTTAGGTCTTAGCTCAAGACTTAGTGCCCCAGTGCCAATTGTTGGTCCGTCAGTCAGGTACCCGTCCTTCATTGATGCCAATGATAACCAGTCTTCAGTCCCTCCTGTGTCCTCACAGGGATCCACGGATGGAGAAGATGGTTTGGAGCAGCCATCTGGTGATTCCGTCACAAGGCTTAAGTCGCTGCAGGAGTGTGCAGCTAGTGTCAAGGAATTGGTTACTGAGATGGTATTTTTTCAAGTCTTCACCCAAATTATAATTTTCTTAGGGCACTTTAATGTTATAATGCTGTGTTTGTTCTGTGTGTTTTTTCAGATTGAGGCTGGTAGAGTTCTTGAAGCATTTTCTATTCAGCTTGTTATTTTAGCAGTTTGGAAGCAAGCATTGCATCATACGCAGGCTGTCTCGTCCACTGATGACAGTTCTCCTGACTTTGCAAAGTCCAGAGGTAGCATTAAAAAGATCAACTATAGTCCAGATTTTCAAGACTCTCTAGATGTCTGTTCTCAAGTGCTTGAAGATGCCTCTGATGTAATCAAGAGGGAGTTCTTTAGTGAAGTAGAGCATGCTGAAGAACTGTCAAAGTTTGTAGACCCAGGTAATTACCTATTTGCTCATTCATACTGCTAGTAATTAATCTGACAATTAATAAATGAAGGGCTATAAAGACCGTGTAATCAACCTGTTGTCTTTTTTGTCATTGGCACCATCATCAATTAAGTAGATTAGTATCTATTTTCCTTCCAATACACACAGGAGAAAAGGGGATTTATAATTCTACTGCAGGCTGATGAAATAATTTTATCATCCCAAACTCAGGCTGCTGCCTCTAGCCATTAATGTTACACACTTACATGTAGCAGTCTAGCAAAAGACACCAAGGAAATACTAGAAATAAAATGGCGAATTAAGTCAATAAAGGCTATTTGATTTTGAAACTTGATTGTTGTCAATATTATTGATAGCAAACAAGCATGAATGAGATTTATTGACTAAAAAGGAAAAAAAAAAAGTCCTGCAAAAGCGCCCACCTCTGTTATTGCTCAACGAGGATCATTTACGTGCAATTAGAATCATACTGTTCCATTAATTGAGTTTTGAACTTTGACATTTCTGGTTCTGCTATTCACTGGATGGGGCACATGTGCTTGCAGGAAGTGTAGAATTGCCTGATGCCATGGAAACAATTTATCAATCTGCTCTTGCACTTGGAAGACACGGTGCAGTAAGTTTCCTTGCCTTGTTTTAACCAACCACCATAACCCTTGATTGAATGTATAAATTATATAAATTCTACCAAAAAAAAGTAATTTAGAAATAAACCTCTATGATCCTCTTGAAATAGTTTGGAGGCATGTACCAGCTTAGTCCAATAAAATGCTTTTATGGCTGACAGAATGAGAAGCTGGTTGGGAGACTGAGCTCCACGATTAATAGGCATCAAAATATTCCTCATTACTTATTTTCTAAATTGTGAAGTATGCTTTCTACAGTATCCTGCCTTCTGTTTCTCCTACTAATTTCCCCTTTGCATTCCTCTCCAATCTTTTTCCTACCTGGAACATTTTTATACTGTATGAGGAAGTAAGAATTTTACAAGAGAGACTACATTATGGCCTTTTCAAATAGTGCAGGACAACAGCTCAAAAAATTCCTAGGTATACCATAGAAAGGAGGCACCCTAATATGTCATAGTACTTGATATGTAAGCCAGTGTTTTGTTCTATACATATTCATTTCCAATTGTGGCATACATCATGACCCAAGTTTCTTTATAGAATCGGGAAATGGGGTATTTATTACACATCTAGATAATGTCAGATAATGAATACTTCCTCCATTCTCTTCTAATTGCAACGTTGGACATTTTGCGCATGCCAATACACGTCCTACGCCATTTTTATCTTTAATTATATTTTAGTATATATTTTAAAATACTATTTTTTATTTTTATTAAACAAAAAACTAATATTTTGAAAATATATATCAAGAAAATATAACAAGATTCCACATGACTATTTTTCTTAATATATAAATCACAAAAGAGGGCCAAAGGAGTATGTGAAATGTTGAAAAAGTCCAACATTGTGGTTAAAAGGGATCGGAAGAGCTATATATTAGAATCCCTGTTGAATTTTAATTACTTTTATTTAGGAAATTTTGCATATAGCCACCTTTTAAATCTTGTTCTTTTGCAAAAAACCGTCTTTAAAAAAAAATGTGTTGTCAAAGACCACCAATTTTAAAAAATATGTTGCAACTTACCACTTCCTAGTGCCGGAAAGTGGATATTTGACCACGTTCCCGGGCGTTGACCCTAATCCCCCTTCCTAGTGCCGGACATTTAATGAATCCTAATCCCCCCTCCTTTTTCCTTGTTTCTCTTTCTTTCCATTTCCCTCTTCTTCTCCTCTGTTTCTCTTTCTTTCTCTTTCTTCTTCTTCTGTTCCATGTTCCATTGTTGCTGCTTCTTCCAAGTGGTAAGTTTTGTTAGGAATTATTGTTAGGAATCCTAATTATTGTTGATTGCTGCTGCTTTTTCCACCAATCTCGAGTCGCCCACCACCCACAATCCCCTCTCACAGGTCGCCCACCACCCACCATTCCCCACCACAAACTAATAACTACACACACCCCCAAAATCACCCTTTAACCACCCTACCCACCCACCCACCCAATGACGTGCCTTAGTAGCAAAATCCACCCAGCTAACCCAACCGCAAAAGTCACGCGGCGTCGACTTGACAAGGAAGGGAAGGGAAACAGAGGAGAAGAAGAGGGAAATCAGAAGATAAATTGTCATTTGGGGGAGAATTAGGGTGCATTAGGGGTGAAATCGAAAGATAAAATGTCATTAAGGGGAAATCAAAAGAGAGAATATGTCATGTGCTACGATGTGACTAGATCAACGCGGAGAAAGTGGTCAACATCCAGTTTCCGGCAGTTGGTGGTAAGTTGCTCTAAAATTGGTGGTATTTAACAACATTTTTTTAAAAGGTGGTTTTTTCGCAAAAGAAAAAAAAAACAAGATTTAAAAGGTGGTTATATGCAAAATTTCCTTTTATTTATAATTTCTTGGGGTAGTTGAAATTATTGCAAGTTAAAGGGAATTTGAATTACTTCATCCATTCCACAAATATTGCCCCAGTTGACTTTCACACTAATCACAGACTCTTTTTGACCATATAGGAATGCATTATGATTTATACGCAAAGAAAATCTAGTTATGTAAGATCTTCCTAGACTCGTCTCGATTTATAATTTTTATATATCAACTTTTTATAATTTTTACGTGATGATATTAATTGTCAATTAAAGTTGTACGTTGGGAAGCGTAAAACTTTCATGGTGCAATATTTGTGAGAAAGGAAGTATTATGTTTTTTTTTTACATAATTTCCCGATGTAAGAGAAGTCTTAAACATTAGGTTTAGACTAAGTAATAAGTATAAAGCCTGGGGGCTGCTCTTCATTCGTTCAGGTACTGAACATGGAGAGTATATGTCAATTAACATGTTAGGGAAACTTAAACTTTTGTAAGAATCTAGTACCGACCATTAAAAAGTAAATATGTATTGTCATCTTGTAAATGGTTATTTGATTAATCGTGATAAATTGCAAGGTCCTGTGTTGCAAAAATACAGAGCCTTAGCTACTTTTGTTTTATTTGCTTCCTTCAATGTATATAGGAATCTGCATGCTAGGGAGCTTGTGCTAATTTTGTCGCCTTTATTACAGATAAAAATAGTTGCTCTTTCTTAGTAAAGAGCAACTCACTTTTCGTAAATATTTTTCTCAATCTCAAGGGAGTCCCATAGCCTTTTTTGTAACAAGGTGATTAATGGTTGGCAGGTCGATGAGCTAATGGGAGACGTGGAAAGTGCAGTGTCATCGTATAACAAAGCTGTGCGCTTGTTGATCTTTCTTCTTGTGGAAGCACCATCTTTAATATTGAATCCTCCGTTCTCTCTCACTAACTCGGACCGGTGTAGGCTTCGCAATTACATTAACATCTTGAATGATAGGCAAGGCATTTCTAGGTCTCAAAGGATGGCCCTTCTTAAACCTGAATGTCCACCTTAAACAAGGGGTTGCTTCTAACATGGCGGCCAACGGTTCACCCTATTCTTGGTGTATGTAATTTGTTTGTATGTACAGCTACATTCTTTTGGGTGTCTGTTGGGAGTAGATTGAAGTAGATATGTAGCTTTGATTTTCTGTTGTATGTGTTCCACCAGATTTCATTCATTAAGGGTTAAATAGAGTTAGTGAAGTTAAAAGTCACGGTACAAATGTATCTTATCTATTTTGTAATATAAATGGATAAACATTATTTTCAGAACCCACTACCAAATCAGGACTACTAAATTTTTGAAGGTGAAAATGTATCCAAAGCCTCCAAAAAGGTGTTATAAAAGTTCTGTTTGTTAATATGGATATCAATTATAATAGAAAATGACTATTTAGGGAAAACATTTTCTTCTATAATGCTCCGACCTCTAATCCAGTTATTAAGAGAATTTTAGCAGCGGAATTAACCTAATTCGGTCGAGACGTCACTGCCGTAACTCCCTCTCGAGAGTTACACGATCATATTTAATTAACAAACTTTATTTATAAAACATAGAAATCTATTTATTACAAACATTATTCTTATCTCTATAATAGCAGATCCTATCATAACATAAACTTACTAAAGTAGTTTAGTCTTACTATTCAAATTAAACAACTTAAAATTTGTAGACAACTAAGTGGTAACTGAAAATAAAATCCTCGCTACTACTCGTCTCCATCATTCTCAGCAGTACCTAAAACATAAAAATATAAAAACGGTGAGCCGAAAACTCAGTAACGTATTACTCTATTAGTGTAACATCATTTCAACTCATTTTAGTTATTATCAAAACAAAGAGAATAGCATATTGTAAAACATTTAATTTAATAAAATTCATATATTCATATATAACTTTTTAATTAACATGCTAGTCGCTAGACAGTATGACATGGTGGAACGTCTTCCGCGATGGGTCGGTGCCCATAACATAGAGCCGGTGCTCGACATATTTGGGCTAGTGCCCCATGGGTACATGCATGACCGAAAAGTAACCTATATACTGCCAGACGGACTAAGTCTTTCACTATTATTTATCATGTTGTGTAACTTTTATGTAGGTCATTCATAGATTCATAACATACTTTCGTCAGATCCAAAGATCAATAAAACATCGTATATTCATAAAATCGTTCAAATAAAAATCATATGACAGAAATACATCAATGATCATGTTTATCATCCCGCAAGTCATTAAAATATATCCAGAGATATAAATAACTTTCAAAAGTGACTATGCTTTTATCAACGCATTTCTAAGGGAATTGCGGGTACTAGCAATAGCCGTTACCTCAATTTACAGCCTGATAACCTTCATGTAAGCTTTTAATTTTTCGTTCTCACTGAGGTCAGATTCCTCTTTTATAAAACAAGAATTTAAATTATCGTATTAGTAGAGATAATGATGAATCAATAACTATATACTAAAAGACACACCAGCAATGACATGTGTCGATTTCTGGTGTGTTCTTAGTATATTTTTTTTAATAATTAATTACTAAATTTTATTTAAGGAAGTTATTTAAAAAAAAAAGTTTGTTTTTTTGTCACTATATAAATGAGCAATAATATTTACCATTTTTATGTTGATACTCAATTAATTACGGAATAATAAGGAAATATATAATTTTTTTCAAGAAGATGTATTGTTGGTGGAATATTTTTTAAGAATATGATCTTGATCAAATATTCCATGTTACTTCAATTTTGTTCAAGATATTAAACAATTTTTATATTTTATGCCATAAATAAATTAATTTGTCAAAAGTAATAAAAATAACGTACCGTGCATGGCACGGGATCTAACCTAGTATTATAAATACTTTAATTATTTAAAGCTTTTGTCAAATGATCTAGCAAAACTTCTTTATCAAAAACTGATACCTATACTATAAGGAGGGTCATATATATACTACTATTCAATTTAGTAAGGAAAATAAGTACTCTAATTATACAAGTATAAATGAAAACAATAAAACTCATTTCTAAAATAAAATTAATATACGTTAGTTTTTATTTCAAGAAAACAAGTATATTACCTAATATGAGTGAAACTAGTACTATTACTATTTAGAGTAAAACAATCATAAACTTAGAGAATAGATAATACTGCTACTACTATATTTTAACATCATTAAAGAAAATAACAAAAACATTCTCAAATTAGGTAGTCTCTTAATTAAGCTTATACTCAAAATTAAAATGGAGAAAAGAGTAAACACTCACTTGATTTCTCGTGAAATAGAGTAGCGGTTTCGTCAAGGGTGGCGTTAATTGCTTGGGTGCTCGTCAATTATGGAGTAAGATGTATGTATTTGATTGTTCGTTAAAAGAGAAAGAAATACGGTACTAGGATAAAGTTCACTATGGGATAAGATTAACTAGCTTTATCACAAAATTGAGCATCAAATAAGAAAGAAGCAAAATTTTGACTTTGCTTGACTTTTCAACACTTAACCGTGAAAAAAGAACAAGGAAGAGGTGGACTTTGTCCCTTTTTGGTACATAAGGGTATTTTCGTCATTTTGTGGTAACGAGTAAAATTTTGTCCTTTAGTGTGAGCAAGGGCAATTTGTCATTTCACTCCCTCGAGTATGCAAATCTTTAAACATTTAACGGAACATAAAAATATTACTTAAACCGAAATACATTTTAAAATAAATTACTTTCCTTTGAAAAATTAGCTTCCCAAAATAATACATGGTTAAAGTAATACTCATATTAAGACTAATACATTTGTATTTAGTAAAATAAAGATTAAATTAATTAAGCTTATAAAATTATATTTAGAGTATAAATAAATCGAGTATTAAAATATCGGGTATTACATACTTACCGTCTTAAAAAAAAGTTTCGTCTTCGAAACTAGAGCTCGGTCAAACCGGGAATAATTATCATCATGAAAAACACGTCACATTTATCATTCAATTCTCATAATATCGCTAAAGTAATAATATGCACTTCCGGTTGCGCTTAAATTACGAAACAAGGGTGTCCCCATAGACCTAATTGCTCTTTTTGTCACCTCTGCCTGTGTCGACTGATCATCTCTTCTTTTAGTGCTCGTTTACTCGACGTCTCTGGGTTTATGGTCTCCTGGGTGTTCGGATCCCTGCGACTGATCTTTCTTTCTCACAGTGGTTTACTTCCTTACTTTCTTCTATCATCACACTTGGGGATTGGTCGGCCTTGAACTCTATTTTTTCTTTCACTTGGGCCATTTGGGTCCTCCGAAATAACATTCGGTTTCGGGGAGCTCCTTGCTCTCCTGTAGCTGTGTTTCAAATTGCTCAGGACTGGTTCCGTCGTAGTTCTTCAGCCACGGACATTACCCTGGAAGATGTTGCCCCTCCCCCTGGCTTTGGTCCTCAAGTGCTCTCTCTGTCCCTTCGTCGTTGTGGAAATGCACAGTCGTCGGTGGATCTCATTGTGGATGGAGCCTGGCGGGTACTGGTTGGTGTTTTTACTCTTTAGATACTGATATCTGCTTAGGAGGTGGAGCTCAAGCATGCTTTGCCCTGCTGGCTTTTCAAGCAGAGTTACTTGCCTGTCTCTTTGCTTTCCGTATGGCACATCAATGTGGTTTCACCCATTTGCAAGTTCGTACTGACTGTATGACCACTTTTTCTAGTCTGCGAAATGACGGTTCCAACGACATCTCCATTGTTTGGATCCCGCAACAGCTAAGGGACATCCTTCCAGCTTTTACTGTTTGTCTTCTTCAGGAGGTTGCTCGAGATGCAGTTATGCTTGCCCATCGTCTTGCTACTTCAGCTAGGAAACGTCGGCTCCTTCATTACTCTTTCTAGGGTTCTTTCTTTTTTTTTTTTTTTTTTTTTCCGCTTTTCTTTCTGTGTGAGCCTTTGTCAAAAAAAAAATAAAAAATAAAAAAAATAATAAAATAAAATTCTGAGGAAAATACATGAGACAGTTTTTTTGTTTGTTTGTAGGAAAAATAATTACGAAAAAAGAAGTGTTTTCAGAGAGTAAAAAAGCTTGAACTATATACAAGTGTAATATTCGTGCAATCGAACGATTTACATTATTTTGAGAGTGAAATCCTTTACATCAACTATTCATTATTTTATGATGATATTAATCACAATAAAGTGTATCCACCTATCATAGTACTCTACCATATCATATTTTCAATTTGTTGTTGAACAAAAAAAAAAATTAATAGAATAGATATATGAATAAGGTTTATGCCCTTTATATATCTAGATCATTATGAGGCATGCCGATTCACATAATTCATGTATTACCCTTTGGCCCTTGTACTTTTGTTTTAATCAACATTATAAAACGTACTCTCTATACGACTATACCTCATAGAGTAAACCTAAACTATTAAACAAAACAAGCATGCAACAAATATTGTATATTAGTTGTAAAGTTGTCTATATTTAAAATTACCCCGATACAAATAAAAGTCACCATGAGTGAGGGGTGTAGCGCATTGTTAGGGATCCCATTACCTCGTTGCTTAAGGCCCTTTAAAGCCAAGGTCTTTGCACTTTTACATGCATTAGGATTTGAAGTCCTGGCTGTTTTGGGAGCATTGGTATGAAAGGAACCAAACATTATTTTTTTTTTTATATAATACTAAGTAGAGAGTTGCCAATGAGTTTAAAGGAAGAAATTCATAAATCTCGTTTATACCTTTTTCCCCAAGTAGAGTGCAAGAGATATTTAGTACAAGCACAAGTTTTCCCTTTAATCCTTTAAATGGATTGCTAAGCAATAGTCTTGCAAACCAAAGTTAGATTCGAGAGCAAGGGTACTAGAATGTCATTCTGTTTGAGGGAAGTGATTATTCTAGCCTCCACTAGCACTTCTTATTCACAATTTCAAAACTAGGTAAATTTATGCAACGTGATACCTAAAACTTAGTTACTCTGTAATTGTTTGTATTTACAAGCAAAGAATCACGAAAGTTTACATAACAATGAATGTCTTTATTCTTTATTATTCAAATTCGTAAAAGGAACAATCAATAAATAGGATTTGCTAGACCTCTTAGGTGATCAAACAACAGTTCATTCTAATATTCTAATCTTAAATTAACGCAAGAATAAAACATGGATAAATTAATTAGTCTTTGATTTATGTGATAAAACAACAGTAGTTAATCTGTTTAAGCTGTTAAACAAGAAAGGAAAGATTAATTTAACTAAGTGCTCGGGAAACTAACCATTTCTCCTTGCTAGATCTTCGCTTCGACTTTTTAC